TCTTGAGCTGGAAGAAGTACCTCCATGCCTTGTTTCTCCCTTAGCTTTTTTGTTTTGGGAAGATCTGGTAGCTCAGGCACACTGCAGCACATATATAGGGAGCCAGGCTAGGTTTGATGCTTTCCCCAAGGTCATATGCTCCTGGACTTCAGTGTTCACTGCAGCAACATTCAAATGGCTTTGTGCAGGGCTGGCTTAATTCTTTCAGACTCTCCTAGTTTGGATGCTGCCTGAGACTGTCTATGCAATAAGCTCCCCATAAAAGCAGTATGTTGCTGGTACGGCTCTCCATGAGATCAGCTCGGGTGCATCTGTATCTTAACCCAATTCAGTGAGTGAGTGTTATTTGTGTGCTAGGGTGCAAGATCTATGTGTTTTCTACTTGTAATTTCATCTTTCTCATGAGCTTCTACTGTGTGCCTGTCATGGGAGCGAGGCTTACATCTTTTTACTGCAATGTGTCTGCAAAGTATTTGTTTCGTGTATCTGGTGATTGTTTTTTTTCTTTTCTGCTGTTCTTGGCCAACAAGCATAGGTTAGTTTTCTCCAAGTAGCTTTAGGGTTTTTACCCTCATGTACTTTGTATAGCTTGTTCATAGCTTGTTAGTAATATGAAATACATAAATGTATTGATCATCTGTTTTCAGTCTGGTTCGGATTGCCCATCAGGGACTAGTATTATCTTACCGTCTTGAATGACTGTTTTAGGTAATTTGTAAATGGATTGCTCTGACAGCTTGAAAGTTAATTTTATTCTAGTAGCTTTACTTCACTTAGTTTCCTTTTCATTTGGTGATGGTCTGAGGAGTTCTTTTCAGAACATACCAACTTGGAAAATTCAGCAGGTCTGACTGAGTTAGAACATCTGGGAGAGAGCAAAAGAGGCACTTGTAGTTGCAAAACAAGGTTGATAGGTTAGGTACTTACGATCTAGTGCCTGATGCAATTAATTACTTAAAGGCTCTTAGTTCCCTCTCAGAGTTACCATAGCAATGTGGAATGTGTTGATCTGGCAAAATTTACTCTTCAAGTTCAAATTGGTTTAAAAAATTTATATATAAGTCTGTTTCTACCATAAAGGTTTTATGGTAGATCAGTTATCTGCTGCCATGGATCGAGTTTGCTTTGCTGGCTGATCCAGCATTGGTAAGCTTGGAACAAGTTGAAACATATCAGAAGTTTTAAATGCAGCAGCCATTTAAGGCTTCTCAAGGTAATATTGCTTCAGAGTTGTCTTGTGAAATTTGATAAGGCTTAAAGAAATTTGCAGTATAATTTATAGGGAATTAAATAGTTTAATTCATTTATTCATATGTATTGCACAACATATCTATTTCAGTTGCTACATAATGCAGCCACAAATACAAACTGTGAATTGATGATCACTTGTTAAAGTGTTAATGATGTGCAATTCTTTCATTTAATGTAGAAGGGACTCCATTAAAGCCGTTCAGGTTTTTACGTTATTCCACATCTTCTGTGAATGCTATCCCTCTTTCCAGTTGGTTTATTCACATAGACATATGTGTAGTTCAGTACTGATATGGTGCTTAAGCATGTGCAGTTAAATATAAGAGGAAATTTATTCTTTCTCCCAGGTAGTCTCTGTCCCCAGTTTCCTTGGCTTCTGCTGTTCTGTGCCTGTGATACTGTGCAGGACAGCTGAAAATGCAGGTTATTCAAGGGCATGCTTTTCCAGACTAGTATCTCTAGAAGAGAGCAGGCCGTCTGTTGCATGGCCATAAGGGCTAGTTTACTCTAGGTCTTGAATATTTAAGGCAGGTGAAATACCTAGTTTGCTGACTACTTTACCACCAACAGAAACAGATCTAAAATGTATATTTATGCACTCGCATTTCCTTAGGACTGAACTTCAACAGTTCTTTTATTGTACCTGTAGCACAGAGAAAAAAAAGTGGTAGACCTGAGTAGTTTCTAAGGAAACTTTGCCATCAGGATCTGTTATCAGAGTACTTGCTGGTTTGCCTGTATCTCTTTGAACTTAAAAATTAGGTTGGATGTCCTAAATGTAAAGATAAGCTGTACCCTATAAAATGTGTTGTACTGTTGTCCTTTCCAGATGTATATGAAGTTTTTTTTTCCAGCCTTTGATTTGCAGACCCCTTAAAGTTTCAGCTTTGATCTCCTTATGACATAATTTTATTTTAGATGAAAAATTTTCCATCAGAGGTTCCTCTGTACAAGAAGGTTGTATGTGTATAATCCCCAACTACTTTCATTGTATAGTTGTTCATAACATTTGGAGTCTAATTTACTGCCATATATTAAGATGTAGCATGTCTACTGGTTGAATTATCTTTTTTTTTTTTAATTCATAAGAAAATTGAACCTTGGCAATTCCCTATTTTAATAATTTTGTTCTACAAAACAAATATTCGATTTTCAGTTCAAGAACAAAATACAGCTTATTTCTATTGCTGCAGAGAATTGCATCCTGGAGTCCTATTGGGTTTTTTTCTTTTCTAGTAATAGCCATCAGGATGGTGATGCTAAGGAATAATTTTTGATGGCCTCAGTCATTCGCTTGTGTAACTTTCAGTGTCTGTTTTTATTCAGGAGAAGCTAGAAGGCATTAACCTGAGATGGTTTGTAAGTAGAGTTGTACCCAGGACTGAACTGAGTGGTCTTGTTAAGGTTTCTCCCAAGTGAAATCCTATGTAGTGAAAATGTAGTTTAGTGAAGGAAGTGGTTTTTTATCCAGTAAAATTACTTCTGGTGGATCCAAGTTGGTTGTGTGATACTTCCAACACCAATGTTAAAACATTTTAACTTTCTCTAAAGTAAAAAAGAAAAAAAGTAAAATAAAAAAATAGTCTGTGCTTCTGGAGCTCTTCTTGGATAAATATTCAGAAATCTCTATATAAATCTTTTGTTGTATCCAGTAGCATGAACAATGTTCCGTAACAGTTTTTTCCAAGCCTGTGGTACGTTGCATGTTCCTGTTTGGTAAGGCTCCAGTAAATGACAAGTAAAACTATATTGAACTATCGGGTATAATGTCTTCAAAGAGGGTTTTTTGTTTTCTTTTTTTAATGCAAAGTACTGTTTTTTCTTTATTCTCCAGATAGTGATGTGTGAGGGTGGATTCCTGAAGAGTATAGATGATGGTTCTGTACTAGCACGATAGGCGTAAGTTATTATCCAGTCTAATGGACTTTGGACTTTTATTATCTCCAAAAAGGTTGTATCCCCCTATGATATGTGCGAGCTGTCTGCCTACAGCTGTTTCTTCCTACATGTAACTCGTGTAAAGCCTGGCATAAACTGGGAAAGATTTTGTCCAAGTATATGGAATATCCAGTGGAAAGCTGCTCTGATCTTGATTGGAAGGATTCGCTTTGCACTGCATCTTGTTCCATATGGATGCTAATCAAAACCAAATTTCCAGTTATTTCTCTGATCAGTTTAAAATGTGGTTAGCCAGCTATTTTGCTCATCAGTTTAAAATAAGGCAACAGTCTTGTTTCAGGGTTACAGATATTTTTCAGTACAAGTGAACACTTAGAGATGCAAAGTGAATTTGTCTTGTACAAGTGTAGTATCATTATTACTTCTTCTTGAATTTCAAGGAAAAAGATGGAGTTCTTGGTCTTCATATGCTCTGACTGGTTAATTTTTAGTACATAATGATACAATTTCCTGTGATCTTGGAGAAAATACAGCAACTTAATGGCTGCTTTACCAACTAGTAATTTTTTTATAATCAATTTAGATGTTTGAAAAGTAAATTCAAAAGCTTCCAAAAGATTTGTTGAATTTTCTGGCGTTTTTTTCTTGAGCCTTGCTATCAAGAAGTAGTATCGCTTGGTTTGTCTATGTTTTTAGCTGATTTACAATGTTATGCTCATGTAAAGATTAATTAAAGATGTATTTTTATAGAAGACTGCAACTTATTTCTGCTTAATTCATGTACTGTGAAACTATGGCTAACATAATCCCTTTTGGTGTCCTTTTAGGTAAGCTGGTAAAAATAAACTGGTTTTACCATCAGAGTGAATGAAACCTAACCTCTTTCATATTATGTATGTCAGTGGAAGGGGATTATCACTTTGTTTTACATTTTTCTCCTTATATAGTTATACTCAGCTTTCAGTGAAAGAGCTGAATATGCCTAGGGAACAGAAGCTGTCAGCAGAAATCTGTATGTCATACAGGTGACAGTTCTGGGAATAAGAAAGGAATTAAAATTCCTTTCCTCTGGAAAGAAGCAATGTTTTAAAAGATTGTAAAAGTTAATAAGCAAAATGTGGTGGTGAACCTGATTTTTAACTTCACAAATGAAATTAAAACCACTGCATTTTTCAATAGATGGATTAAAAAACTTCGTGGCTTTCAGTATCAAATATAAATCTTAGCTTTCTGATTTTGTTAACCCTTTTCCAGTGGTAGAGTTAAGAGACAAGAACTATACACAGGCTCTCCTTTGCTATCCCAGTCTATCTCCTGGCATTTCACTAGTATGGGCTATGAAAAGCCTAAGCCTATTTCACTTGTTTTCTGTGCACCTGTGGCACTCCCTTGTTCCATATTGCAGTGATAGGCTTTCTGGAGTTGTTTACACCTGTTTGTTGCTTTACCAATTCTGAAACATTAAACTGACAGCAATTATTTTTTCACTATTCATTAGGAAAGCTCTTAGAAAAAAGGAATTGCTGATTAAAAAGAAAACTATTTTAATTCAGAATACTAGAGAAAGAAATATAAAAGTCACATGCAGATGACTTGGTAAGAATGTGCGTATCATGACAGGAAAATGGCTTCCCACTGCTGTATCACATTGGGTTGTTTTGTAGAAAAGAAACAGAATTCAGCCAAAGTGTACTTCCCCTTTTCAGTGGTTCCCCCCTGCAAGATTCTGCTTTGATTATTCTTTGCTAGATAACTTAAACCTAAGATTTTTCTTTTTTATCTAAAAAATAATCTGAATAAATATACATTGTTTTCCTAAAAATTTGATTTTTTTTCTTTTCCCCTTTCAGGTCAGAAAGTAGTTTTCTGAATGCTTTAGTTGAAATACTTCCACTCAGTGTACTGGAGTACAACTATTTGTACTTCAGAAAAATGGTGATGTTTCACATTCCTCAAGTGATCTACTTGGCTGAGCACAGCCCTTCCCTTGTTGATTCCTCTCATTCGAACAGCCCTGCTTGTTTTCCTGGTGAATGAGGGCGTTGCATTCCTGGCAGGGAGGTACCTTTTCAGCCTCTGATCCTTTGCTGAGCAGGTATATCCTTTATGGAAGTGTAAAATTTGAGGTTATAAGATGTTATTTCATAATTTTCTGGATGATGGCATTGGTCTTAAGGGATAAACCTCTGCTGATGACTGCCTACGAAGGCAGTGGTAAGGAGTGAGTGTCCTGGTTTCAGCTGGGATAGAGCTGATTGTCTTCCTAGTAGCTGGTACAGTGCTATGTTTTGAGTTCAGTATGAGAAGAATGTTGATAACACTGATGTTTTTAGTTGTTGCTAAGTAGTATTTAGTCAAAAGTCAAGGATTTTTCAGCTTCTCATGCCCAGCCAGCGAGAAGGCTGGAGGGGCACAAGAAGTTGGGAGGGGACACAGTCAGGGCAGCTGACCAAAACTGGCCAAAGGTGTATTCCATACCGTGTGACATCATGCCCAGTATATGAACTGGGGGGAGTAGGGAGAGGGGGAATCGCCGCTCAGGGACTAACTGGGTGTCGATTGGTGGGTGGTGAGCAATTGCATTGTGCATCATTTGTATATTCTTTTATTATCCTTTTATTATTACTGTTGTCATTTTATTAGCATTATCATTATTAGTTTCTTCTTTTCTATTCTATTAAACCATTTTTATCTCAACCCACGGGTTTTACTTCTTTTCCTGATTCTCTCCCCCATCCCACTGGGTGCGGGGGGGAGTGAGCGAGCGGCTGCGTGGTGCTTAGTTGCTGGCTGGGGTTAAACCATGACAGTGAGGCAACAGACAGTTACCCCAACGGTGACATTTTAGGTAGGTGAAGCGATGGAGCGGGCCTGCCACTGTTCAGCTTTGGGCAGTCTTCAGCACAGCCCTGCCAGGCAGCACGTGCGTGCCATGACTCTTGTTGATGACATATCTGGCAGGCTTGCCAGCCCTCCCCTTCCTGGGTGACATTTTCAGTTAATTGTCTCATTTAGCTTTCTCTTCTCACCTTGTTATCCCATGGCTGATACCTTAGAAGGCTCTATTGGAAATCTCTCTTTGCTGTTTAAACCTACTGTCTAAGTTCCTGTGCAGTGCTTGGCTCTGTTCCTTGAGAAGCTTCAATATGTTGTGCAACAACAGCTCCAAAATTCATCTCACCTCGTCCCAGTGGGGCAAGATCCAGGTCACTAGTGCTGCCGTGGCATTTGATAGAAGCAGCAGGTCCCTTTGCTGCCCGCTCTCCCCTCAGCAGCGGTGGCTCGGGGCAGAGACGGCGGGGTAGCCAAGGCAGGCAAGAGCCATGTGGCACTGCAAGCTTTGCAGCGTGAGTGCAAGGGATGGGGCTGCCGCTTGGACCTCACCAGCCTGGCTGTGGTGGAAGCCCCTCTTTTCCAGCGGGTAGCAGAAACAGGTAGCCACACCAGCGCTGAAGGCAGAGGGAGCTGCTCCCCCATCGCTTCCTATCCCACTGCTTGAAACACCTGCTTCAGCGGGAGCTGCGGCACTGCAGCCGCGTCTGCGACTGGGGACTTGGCAGGGGATAGAATCTTAGCACTGATGATTCATTGATGCCTGTGGAGCCAGTTTGGCCAGGAGATGTCTCAACTGAAGTGCTTCAGCACTAGTGGCCTCTTATCTTAACAGCAGGAACCACTTCTGTAGCCATAACACGTATTTTAAAGGCAGTGCCCTGTAGCAAAGTAGTGGTACAAGTCTTGTTACACTACTCAAGCTAACCATTTAGATTGACTTGTGTTTTGGAAGCTATAATTTCCCAACTTGATTGAGTTCTGCAATGTGTATCATCTAGTGGGACACTAAATTGAGAAGATACCGTTCAGCCTGCATGTGTATATGGTTGTCTCTGTTACTGTTTCATTTCCTTCAGCACTTACTTGGATAGCTGTACAGTTCTCTGTGTGGATTCAGGTTCCACCAATGTGATATGTAAAGACAGTTTTCATTTTAAACCCTATCTTCAGATTGAACACTGTGGACATAATGACTTCTAGCACCTAAATTGGCTTGGTTTAGTAATGACAGCATGCTTGGGGGATGATGATAACTGGTGCAGTACTTCTGTAATGGGAAGGAGGATCAGAATTTCTGGGAGAGGGAAATAATGGTAGCAGGAAACAGGCCATGAGACTGGTGTTCGTCAGCGCATCTTTGTTTGGTTTAATCAATCTGAATCCAGATCTTTGTGTCTCTTTATAATGCCAACCTGTATGTAAAGAGTGTGTCAGATGTTTCCTTCTATCATGAACACTGTAATGATAAGGAGAAATCTAAATGGTGAAGTTTCAATCCTACACATTGCTGCTGTATGTGTAGATGTGGTGCTTAAGGCAGTTTCTGAGTGTTAAAATCATAAAACCCCTTGGTTTTATTTAGTTTCTATAAGGACCATTAAGGTTGTAAAACTGATTGATATTCACTGGTTGGGAATTATGAATTGTTGAACATACAACTGCTGGTATGATCTTAAACGGCTTCTGTTGTGTACATCCTGATATAGACTTCGATTACTAGGCAACTTTTTTTTTTTTTCCCCAAGAAGTTTCTGGCTGCTTTGGCAAATAAGTTTGCGTTTTATGGCTGGATTTGTTTTATCAGTTGTGGGGGAAGAGCCTTTGTCTCTAAAGCGTGCCACTAGTCGTATGAAAAAGGTTTTGTTGCTTATGGCTTTGGCTGCTGTAATAATTATGATGTGGTTGACTTTATCTGAAAATTTGAGCATTGTTTCTCTGATGTTACCTGCTTCATAAGAGAAATAGAAAATAGAACTGTGAACATGGCAAGACTGCAGGAGGAAACAGTGTATTTCTGCTTTTGCCATAGCAATGCTCTATATGAGACTGGGTCACTTTTCTTAAATGTCAGCTTTTCATTGAGATCTCTGTTTGAATGTTGTCTATTTCTTTAACTCAAGTCTTGGATTTGGTTTCAAAAAGTGATCTTGCAGCTCCCAATGAAAATAAATTGGAGCAGTACTTGCTGAACAAGGTGTTTAGTGCTTTGAAAAGTCAGCTCTGAAGATTGTCATGGTGTGCATGCAAAATTCATGCTTACTTTTGAACTTAACCACTCTAAATGTGGTTCCCTGTATATAAAATCTGGTTTATTTTCACAATGGTCCATTTTGCAAAGATGCTGTAAAAAGAAGAGTTTGTACTATGCTGCTAAGCACTACAGAACAGCCTAGAGAGAATTATTAAATCAGATTAATGTCTAGAAAAAATGCAAGTTAGAGTTGTCAGGCACTTTGGTACTGTGTAACTTGACTAGCATTGGCAAATTTGATATTCTCTGTAGCTTTCCAGGTGAGCGTAGGTGCTTTAATCGATCTCAGTCCAGGTGTTCTTATTTCAGTCTAGTGCGAGGCTGTGTGTAGAGAGGATGTCATAAGACCTCAAGGGACAGCTTAGGCTCAAATGTACAAAAAAGAAGCTCATTAATAGATTCTTGGTTGTTTGGGTTTGGGTTTTTTGGTTTTTTACATAATGCAGAATGGGGGGGGTAAATACTTTCTGTGATGTCAATCAAATTCTGTCATGACTAACGAGTGATGAAATTGCTTCTATTTCCACTGACAGTTACAAGGCTGTTTTTGACAGCCCTATAGAATTTGTTCTTTGTTAATGTGACAACACCTCTAATGTAATTAAAATTATTTCTGAAGTGCTACATAGAAATTAATTTCAAAAGGAGGGGAAAGATACTAAGTTACTTAATATAATTTCTGCATGTTCAATTGTGTTAGGAATGTGTTCTGTTTGTTTTGGGTTATGTCACCAACTAATTTTGTTGCGCATTTTTCTAATAAAAAAGTGAATGTGTGCCTCAGCAGACTTCAATTTATCAAAATTGCTTTCTGTTTGAATTCCCCCCCCCCCCCGAATGAAAAACATCAAGGTCCGATCAAAACCTTATGCTAGTTACTGAATTTCTTGAATGTTTCTTTTGAGTAACAATTTAATTCTAGAGTATGAATATTATGCCTGCAATAGCATGAACTGTACTTGCTTTGCTTTAATTTTGCTAGGCAATGAATTCCTTTGTTAATGTTGTATTAAGTGGGTATGTACTGAAGTTAATGACAGGATCGGGAGATACGCAGAAAAGCATTTGGTCACGTTAACATGCCTTCAAATACTATAAAAGGGAAAAGTAGTGTATTTGGGCTAGTTACAGGTTTCTGTAAAACGGGAACAGAACTGCTTGAAACTTGTTGCAGAACAGTTTGTATCTGTTTGGTTTCTTGTGCTGCTCACTTGCATGTCCAAGCAAAGCTCCCTGGCCCTTGTGGAGAAGGGGAGGTGCTGCGCTGCACTGCTCTGCATCTGCTGTGGACAGGGTAGAAATGCCGCCTTCTGTGGCGAACAAGGGTGAACTTCTTACAGTGTCTGTTCGTTGAACTTGCTGTAATGCTCTCTTTTCTTCAGATTTACTCACATACTCTTTATGTAGAGGCAGACTTTTAGAAAATGCAATAAAATTTCAGTCTTGCAGAACACTTACTTAGCCTTTGATACATAGTTTCTGAAATGAGAAGGTGTTTTGACTTTCTTTATCAAAGCCAGTCAGCTCTTCAGGATTTTTTTCTGATATCTTTCTTTGTTTTTTTTTTTTTTCTCCCCCACTTAAGATCGCGCCGGAAGCATCAGTACTCTTGATTCCTTAGATTTTGCAAGATACTCTGATGATGGCAATAGGGAAACGGACGAAAGAGTAGCAGGTAAGTTTTTTGTATCATTTAGGAATCATAGAATGCCAACTTTACCATTTGACTTGTTGTTACTAGCATAAGTATATTTAAATGAACATTTCTGAAGATGACAAAACTTCACTGTGGTTGTTTAACTAGTCACTTAATGATATAATCATGTTTCAGACACTTTTACTATAATTACTGTAAATATTCAGGCAGGTGTATTTTTGTATGATTCCAGATGTCGCCAGGGTAGAAGCAAGTAGTATACTTGAAAATTGTGCCCTGTTTTTAACAATAGAACAGTATCTCGATATTGCCTACTGACTACTACTATTTAGCTGAAACACATGCTGAAATATTCTATGTAGTAGTCTGTGACTACTACAGGGGTGATAGCTTTCTGATATAAAGATCTGTAGCACATCATCTCTTAAATATAGCTTATGTGTAGATCAAATAAGCATTACCAAACCCAGAGTAAACTTGGGATTTTCTTAGTTCCATAAGTCGTCTTTGCTACAAATCTTAACTGTAGTACTTTTCTTCTCTCCCATTTGATTTCTCGATTGTATAAGATTGTTTCAAAGAAGTGATGGGGGGGGTTGCCTCTTTCAGTTCTGAACAGAAGCCTGTGGCATTTTTAATTTCAGGTTTTATGATTATCTTGGCAAAGGCAGAGGCTGCTTTTCTCTTATATTTGAAGTTATTATAATAATCTCTTCTGTATGTGAGACTTGTTTCTCTAATCCAGGCTTTTTTCTAAGTTCAGATATTAAGTTATTTGCAGCTTCTGTAGAGGAATCTGTAAAAGCTCTCTGGAAACTGCTACAGAACTCTGTGTACTTCTTGCGAATTAATACTGTATAATATCATGAGCACATGAAAGTTCTCCATGCTGTGGCCTTTGTTCACATAGTTTAGCTTTATGACACCTGACGTGATGCAAGCTGCTATGTCTCTGTTCCACACTGTTGTCTCTGCTTTGAACCACCACACTTCATCCTAGCAGAAACACTGTCACATTCTTAAGCAAAGAAAAGGCTGGTGAAACATAGTTCTGTAAAGGATCTTGATTCTGAAGTTTACTTTTTTGGTCAGTCTGAAATGGCAACCAGTATTGACCCAGAGAGAAGAAACAAAAGTGTTGGGAAAATCTCATTGTTCTTACCCGGCCAGTTTTTCTGAAGTAAAGGACTGGATTCAATTCATGAACATGAAGTAAATTCAGGTATTTTGGTGCTCTGGTCTGGAACTGTAGGTACTTACTGTTCTTCAATTTATCTGGAAACTTCCAGATTCTTACTACTGTCTAATTACTGTCTTTTTCAATATATGTAGTCATTTTCAAGGAGGCAATAGTTGTAAATACAAAGCTAATCTAAACAAAGTGTGTTTAAGGAACGCAATTATTTCTGAGTTGTGTCCTGGAATACAAGGAAGAAACAAGCAAATTCAAAATATTTTGATTTTTTTTTCATCATCTTGCTAGATTTTTCCTGTTTCTAGTCAATTTTTCTTGGCAATAGTATTAATGAAGGAGCTAGTCTGATCTTTGCTTGGAGCTGTCTTTAGTAAATGAGTTGGATTGGAGATGCTTATAGAAGGTAAAGACCAGTCAGAATTGACATCCAGTAGAACCATTAATCTTCTGATGGAACATTAATGACAAAATATTGATTACTTGCAGTATGAAATTAATATATCCTTAAAATAAATATTATATTTAAGTACATCCTAAAATAGATAGAGATTTTTGAAGATTACAGTATATTAATTGACCACTGTCATATGTAATAGACAAGAAAATTATATGGCAGGATATTTATATTACGATTCTGTGTTCCTTTAGAGACGTTTTTTGAAGAGTTGTTAAGAAGTGACATAAGAACTTGAACAAAGCAAGACTGGATATTATTTCTGGATGTTTGTAAAGACTCAAAGTTTTCCAAAATATCCTGTTTCTACTTAAAATTCTGGTTCAATTATAATTCCTTAAAATCTTTTGCTTCAATTCCGTTTAAAAACATTTACCTAAGCAATAAACTTCAGAAAACTGATAAGTATTTAATTTGCACATAAAAAAATTATGTCAGTAGAGGTTTCAAAAACTTTTCATATCCAGTACCTTCTTTGAAAAACCTCTGGCTTCTACTTCAAAAGCAGAAGTTATTTCTTAGCTGCAAATGCACTTTGAAACATAACTGGAAGTCCATCCTGCTTATTTCTTCTCATATTCTTTCTTCTCAGTGAAGAGCTTTGATGCTTAGGAGATAAAATTGTAATCTATTTTGAAAGCTTGAGGCCATGATCTGATAGTCATATTTTTCTTTTGATAGTTCTCAGAGTGAGGTTTGAATAGTTTCTTTTTGTAAATGCCTTTCTCATGCTGTTATCTTTGGTTTTTACTGTTTGGACAGAACCCGTGATTTCCATATCAATTCCCTAGTCAAATGAAGCATAGGAAATAAATGTGCATCAGTCACTAAAAGAAACTGGTCCCAAGTCAGAAGGACTTTAAAACTGAAGTTATAACATATCCAGTTACGAATACTTTTATACCATGGCAATGTTAGAAAGCACCATCCAAAGCCATCATATTTCTGTTTTGCTGTTACGGATGGCGTTAGACTTAGCTGCCATAATTTTTATTTTACCAATCCAAAAATTCCTGGAAATACCTAGAAAGACTCTTGCTTGAAATGGATTTCAGTATTTCAAATCTGTTAGCCCAGTTCATTCCATCTGGCATTAGAATCAAAATTTGGCCTAGAAGCAAACATGTTTTGAAGAGTTGGTGTGATCTTGTCACTTGGGAAATCTGATCGAAGGAAGCTAAGTGAGTCTCTTCTATAATGTTATTATCAGCTTGACTCAAAAGATGCAAGTCACAAAAGCAGTCAGGATGTGGATGAGCATGACAAAACTAACTGCAATTTAGAAAACATCAGTTTTCTTCCTTATCTATCACATCTAAACATAAATATAGAGAGCTGTGTAACAAATTGGGTAATGCATTTGTAATTCACTAAGAATTTAAAAAAATATATGCATCCTTAGAGCTTGCAATTTACTAGATGGAAACAACCTGTTCTCTAATAAGTCTTGAATCTAAATTCATCTATTAAGTGCTGAAACAGTTGGTGTTAAGATAAAGTCAGTACTGAAGGATGTATTAGGCTTAGTAAACCCCCTCCAAATATTCATTTTCATAAAACAACCAGAGAATGGAAAACCTGTTCCATTCCTGTGGAATAAGAGTATGCCTAACTTGAAGTCAAATACCCACAGCTTTCAGTGGAAATGGGTCATCTGACATTCAGTCTAAGGAACTGAATCTTCTGCCTCATCTTAAATTGACTGTGTGCACAAGCATGTTGGTGATCTAAACCCCCTACTTTCCATGATGCAAAATATTTAGTATTGCTAAACTGCCTTTGACATCTACTGTTCTGAGAATCTGATAATTTTAAAAACACAGTGCTGTGTTTGCAATGATAATAAAATTAATTCTCATAATCAAACTCCATTTCAATCATTTATCTTCTTGTATTTCCCTGCCTTAGCATTGATTTCTGGCTAGACTGTATATTTCTGATTAGCAAAATAAAATACTGCCCCTGTCAGGATTTCAAGGGAAGAGACAAGCTCAAAACCCACTTGATTATTTTTCAGGATTTCATTTATCTAGACTTAGGTTTGCAATTTCTGCTTTTTTATAGCCTTTTTATTTTTTATTTTTTTAATAAATACTATTACTTGTGTGCAATCAAAATCAGAGGAGTATCTTAAAAAAACAAACAAAACAAAAACAAAACACAAAAGGCATCTGTAATACAACAATCACTTGCTAACATTGTGTGTTCAATCTGTTCATCCTGGAAGTGGGTCTGGTTTTGTCTTCCCATTTCCTGTTGTAAGCCCTGTTAAGCAGTTGTAAGTCTCCTTAATTTCCCCCCAGATCGATAGCCTCCAAGGGTTGAACCTGAAGATGAGTCTGCTGTAGTTCAGGTCTTTTCTGTAGCTGGTCCTGTCTCAACTTAAAAGCATTAATCAGGCTAATGAGTCAAGTGTTGGCTTCCTACTCTTAGAATGATAACCAGTTCTCTGTTAGCTTGCTCATGAGCTTTCACGCTGATCATAAATTCTGTAGCTTGATAGTCACCTCTCATGCTATACTACTACTTTCTGGTTCAAGCTATTTGTGTTACACCCTGAAGTGTTTCACACTGACAGTAAATAAGGTCACTTCATTTCTTCTTAGGACTTGTATCAGGGAAGTGGGAATTAGGAAACCTCAGGTCTTGAAGTATATTGAGATAGTGGCTTCATTGCTAACTATAGTTGGAGAATTCAAATTTCTTCTGATTGACTCAATGCATGCGCAAGTCCGTCAAATGTAATGGAATGTCATACTTGTTCCAGAGGGCATAATTTAGGATATCTAGAGTTTTACGTTTACTTTACAAGGAGGAAAAACTTGAAATGACAGTTAAGAAACAAACAACAACAGAACTTGTAACAGTATGTCCAAATTTGAGGAAAGCTGGGTAAGCACAGGGGCCCTTGGTACTTCAGAGGAGAACTACTTTTAAAAGAAAATGCAAGAATGTGATATAGTGACTTCACAACTTAAAACTACCTTTCTACTGTTGTCTGAAGTACTTCATACCGAAGTATGCAAAAGTCTGACAAGATAATTCATACGTAGAATGTAAAATTATAGTATAATTGGAAAAAATACTGCTTATACAAAAGCAAGTACTGAAAATTTTTATATTCTTCAACTTTTTGGCCTTGGCCCAACAAGACTGCTGTTCATGTCCATGTCAACTTGTTCAGTACCCCAAATCACAGGTTGTTCTTTATAGCTAACTTCTCAATCTATGGTTCATTACTTATGAAGTCATTAACGAATGTGAGTGAATAGAAAAGATCCTTGAGAAAGTTTTGTTTTTAAATTTCAAAGCCAAGCAGACAAGCTGCCCGCTCCTGATAGGCACTTCTCTTCTAAGGTGTATTAGGTTAGCTGCATGAAAACTGAAACATTTAAAATCACTAATCTGAAAGTCTTGGTCAAATGCTTTGTTGCTTGCTTGAAAGATTCAGCTCTTTTGAGTTAGTCTAGGTAATTTTTTTCAGAATGGTAGCTGATTTGAGTTCTTTATAAAAAGAAAAGCAAGAGAGCTACTTAAATTCAGACTAGTTTTCTCCCCTAAGGCAAAACAGATTGTTCAGAAAGGCCCTTTCCTTGTAGGAAGATTAACCAACCTCAGAGCTCTAAATTTCTGTTCTCTGCTTTCCTGATGTAGAGGAGAATCAATTTGGTTCTTTCCTTTCCTAGGCTGTCTGCAACAAAACTCCTCTGTGTATCGTTCTTAAGGAGTATCAGCCTCTTTCACCAAGTACTATAATGAGTTATACATGTTATCAGTTCAGTCAAGCATGAAGTTAAACTTTAGCTGGCTTATCAATGCTTTTGAAGGCTTAGCTTCTCTAAGGTACATAAGCTTTACAAGATCAGGTAATCTATTTTAAAAGTCAGTACTTGACAATGGTTACAAAGAAAGGGGTTAGAGGTTGCTTTTTTTTATTTAAGAGAATGTCATATCATCAACAAATGGGGATTTCAAGTGTTGATTTCATTAGTTCACGTGTTGAGTTAGAAATCATTATGTATTTTGGCAGAAGATTGCATTTCAGTATAACTTCTAAAATAAAGAGCTTTTAATCATAATTTAAAATTTGACTGAAATTATGTTGTAGCTATTTACAAATATTTATGCTTATATAAAAAAACTACAAATAAGCTTCCTCAAATAAAAGCTAAATTTGTGACTTAGATGCCTCAAGGTTTGTATGATGGCAATTATAATGGTGGCATTAGTAAGACTGGGAGATGAGGTACAACTGTAACAATGCTGTGTTGAAGTAGAATTATGTGACATGCTGCGAAGTGACAACTTCTCAAATATACTATGTCCAGAAACTTCCACTGTATACAGAGAAACATGCAGCAGAGTAATCTTCTTTTAAGGTTGAATGGGTAAAGTCCTAATGGCTTCTAAGAATTTTCAGCATCATGACAGTTCACTAAAAATTAATTCTTGCCGTCTGACATGGGTTTCTCTGACACGAGTTTTTTGGCTTTCTACGCCTTCAGACATATCTTATTCCTATTTTCCTTAATGGGATTCCTGAGTTTTTCTAGTTTCTGTTGTTTTTCTAACTTTTTTTATTATTTATATCATTCTAGTGCAGGGCACTCCTGATCTGCAACTGTTCTGGTCTTTGAAAATATTTTACAAGAATAAAATGTTAACATAGAGTCATTTCCATCAGAAGAATTACTTAATTTGAATTCTTTGCAATTTTCAAAAACTAACAACTTAGAATCATAACTGTGAATTAGTAACTCAAATGCAAGGAAGTGCTAAAATTATTAGATACTTTATTATAAGAGCATTTTCTAACTTTGTTGCACAGAAGTATTTGCAGATCAGCATTGCTGAATACTAGAGAGATTTTACATATTTTATTCATCATATCCTCAGTTGCGCTTTTGTATCGCTGCAGTAAAATTCTGTGCATCAAACAAATTACTTTCATGTAGCAAATGTGGTGTACTGTAGTTATCCTTCAGTTTTTATGGATAAATGCAAACTGAGTGAATCTTTTTTTCCATGCGTGCTAATTATCAAAAGATTGTTAGTAACAGACGTGCAAAAGAGGAAACCATTTTATTTGTAGTCTTCAGTATCATTTCTTACAAGCAAGAGCCAATGCATTTTTTCTGTCATGCATTGTTCTATGTGTAAATATTTCAAAATGCCAGAATATTTCAAAATGTTTCCAGGCAATGATTAAAAATCTCATTAATATTTTCTTACTAAAAGCAGCTACAATATTTTTAGTTTTGCATGGGAGTAAAGTAAATGTTAGGTAATCTATTTAGAGTAGTTTGACACTTCAGTATGGTAGCTGTTCTGGGCTCATCTCTTCTAGTTAAGTACAAGCACCCTTTCTGGTAACTGTAGAGTAATTAGATTAATCTGAGAATTAATTAAATGCATGTAATTATCTGGTAATTCCTTAAATAGGTTCCCTTAGATGCTCTAACTGTAAACGGCTATAAAAAGAACATTTACGATATGTTTTGCAAAGGTACAGGGTTTTAAAATTTGAAGCCACAGTATACCTGTGACCTCAGCACCAAAACACATAGAATTCTGGTGCAAACAAAGCACTACTGGCCATTTTTGGAGGAAACATTGGAACATGAGAAACACATAATAGTGACCGGGGGGTGGGGAGGTGAAGCAGGTGATAGCAGCAGCTAGAATTACGTATTTTTGAATCTCTAAAACTGACTCTAGATCATTGAAAGTTTTGTATAGTCTAGAATTACTGGAAACTTTTAAGAATAATGGAGCAAAGACATTTTTGTTTCAAGCTTCTCTAAGTACTATAGGAGAGCTGCATATTTTCCATTTTTTTTGATCTTGTGCATCTCTTAAATGTATTCAACTGAATTAAAAATCTTAATCAACTCTAGGGTATTACTGAAATACCATTTTTAAATAGAGATTTAAAATGAGACTTTTCTTAGTAGTAAAATAAAGTATGTTTCAAGTTCTGCCATTTAAACTAGTAAAATTTCAGTGTATGATTTTATTAAAAAAAAGTAAATCTGTAGTCTCAATGGGACAGTACATTCACTTCATGTTTTAAGCTTTGCTACATGGAGACAGCTTCCTCTGCTGCCAGCATGTATTTGCTTCACTGAGATCTGTCCTCTCATTGCCCACATACTCCCCTTGCCCCAAGAAATCGAAACATTTGACAGTATCAGCTGATTGTAAGAGTAGGGAAGAAATAACCAACATTTCCCAGTAATATACAAAGTTAAAAGCAAGCAAAAAAAAAAAAAAAAGACCCCAAAACCCTAGAGTGAGTCCTTGTCAGACAGCTTGAAATTTTGATTTAGCTAACTTAACACCAATGAAACTATGGAAAATGTTCACCAGTTTGCTTTCAGACCAACTCTGCTGCATGTGTTCATAAGTTCCATAAAGATTGCATGCTTTCTGTTTAATACAAACTGTATATTTTTTTTCACACCCATCCTTGCTTTTTATATTTTATTTTTGTTTCCCTTGCCTTGGTTGGATGCCTGTGTGTGTTTAATCCAAATCCCTGTCCAGTCCTGGAGTTTGAACTACGGAAAGCCAAGGAGACCATACAGGCCCTCCGAGCCAACCTGACTCAGGCTGCAGGTGGTGTACATAAACCTTTTCTTAAGTCTCTACTTTGAACAATGTAGAAGTAGCTGAGCTCATCCTGTGTGAAAGAGTAAAATTTAGTTACTTTTTTTTCCTCCCCAGAAAATGAAGTTCCTTTGCAGGAACGAAAAAATTATAAATCAAGTCCTGAAATTCAGGTAGGTGGCTGGTGGTAACTGAGCTTTGCATGGACTTTAAGACGGATATGCTTCCGTAGTTGGAAGGAAGATGAACCAAAGATGTAGTGTGTTGTTTTCTTTTTTCCCAGGAGCCAATCAGACCTCTTGAGAAAAGAGCTCTAAACTTCCTAGTTAATGAATTTTTATTGAAGAATAGTTACAAGCTTACATCAATAACATTTTCAGATGAAAATCATGATCAGGTAAAGTTTTCTTGTGGTTTTTTTTTTTACATGCCTGCTTTCCATATTCTGATCTTCTAATAAGCTCAAGTGAACTTAAATGATATTTCCTCTGCATGTAGTTCACTTCATACATATGAGTATTCTAAGAGTTAAATATGTTAGTTAGCATTTTGATATATAAAGCATGGCTTGAAAACACAGCACTTTGAGAAGTATTTGCCAAAAATTTGTAGGAAGGAGTCAGAATGCTTGCATTCTTTAAAGGAAGCAAAACAAGAAGAAAAATACTGTGAGTTGTAGGTACTTATACACTTTCCTGTATTCTGATGGACACCCTTTCAGTTAAACTCAAGGATCTGAATGTAGTAAAATTTTGAACATAATCTTAAATCATACTCAGCTGATTTGTGCAGGATATACAGTATACTTATTACTTGTCATCTCTTGGGCATATATATATATGTGTGTATGAGTATACTTAATTATACTGTGGCATTGAATACAGTCTTGGAGAAGCTCTCGGTAATAAGGTGTTATCTTAGATATTTCCAAACATAGATGTGCTTTGACGCATTTTTCTTAAGAAGATAAGTTTTATGTTTCTATTGGCTTGCATTTTATGGGAAAAAATTCTTCAAATGTTTGGAAGGTTCTAATTACATTCTGACTGTTACTGGGTGAACAAAACACCCAGTAACATCAATACTCAATATATATTCAGCACAAAACTGGAACATTGCCAGAAGAATTAAGTATTGAATTCAGTATTACGTATTGAATTTCGACCAGTTCTGTCTATAACTAGTCCTATATTTTTCCTACCGTTCATATCCTAATCTGTAAAGAAAATGAGTTGTTAAATAAAATTTCTGGATAATCCACTTAAGATTTGAGTTTAACAGTGCTAGGTTTCATACAAATACTTGTGAGGATACAGCCCCCAGAAGAGAAAAGATGAATAATTTATCCTTACTTTTTATGTAGTCTCAACTGAAAATGTTTTATGTTGTAAGACAATTACAAAAAAAAAAGAAGTAAAGTTCTTAATTTAAAATGTACCACAATTAACACATAGAATGCACATATTTTTTCTAGATTATTCACATCATTCTTTCACAAAATAACCTTTCTTCGAATAGGTGTATGTAACCAGACTGTGGAAAAATATAGTGTACGGTAGGAAAAAAGTTTAGAAAAAACAAAAAAAATAAAAATTGAAATTTAATGTCATTAAAGAGACCATCACAACTCCTGTATAACCTGTATAAGTCCTGGATGTATTCCATCCAGAAGGACCTTGACAGACTTGAGAGGTGGGCCTGTGCGAACCTCATGAAGTTCAACAAGGCCAAGTGCAAGGTCCTGCACGTGGGTCAGGGCAATCCCAAGCACAGATACAGGCTGGGCGATGAGTGGATTGAGAGCAGCCCTGCGGAGGAGGACTTGGGGGTATTAGTGGATGAAAAACTGAGTATGAGCCAGCAATGTGCGCTCACAACCCAGAAAGCCAATCGCATTGTGGGCTGCATCAAAAGAAGCGCGGCGAGCAGGTCGAGGGAGGTGATTCTGCCCCTCTACTCTGCTCTGGTGAGACCCCACCTGGAGTGCTGTGTTCCGCTCTGGGCCCCCCAGCATAAGAAGGACGTGGACCTGTCGGAGCGGCCACAAAGATGATCAGAGGGCTGGAGCACCTCTCCTATGAAGACAGGCTGAGAGAGTTGGGGTTGTTCAGCCTGGAGAAGAGAAGGCTCCAGGGAGACCTTATGGCAGCCCTCTATTCCCAGAGAGGGACTTTTTACAAGGGCATGTAGTGATAGGACAACGGGTAATGGCTTTAAACTGAAAGAGGGTAGATTCAGATTAGATGTAAGGAAGAAGTTCCTCACTGTGAGGGTGGTGAGGCACTGGAACAGGTTGCCTGGAGATGCTGTGGATGTCCCATCCCTGGCAGTGTTCAAGGCCAGGTTGGATGGGGCTTTGAGCAGCCTGGTCTAGTGGAAGGTGTCCCTGCCCATGGCAGGGGGGTTGGAACTAGGTGATCTTTAAGGTCCCTTCCAACCCAAACCATTCTATGATTCTGTGATTCTAAAACAGTGCACATGCTTATTTATATATTCGGACATGGAATAATCTTGTAATAATAGGATGGTAACATGTCAGTGAGAAAAGGAATGACATATAGTGATGGTTTGAGACAGGAGGCCCTAGTAGTGCTTACACCTCTACACGATTAATACAGTTATGTCCAAATTTCACTGAGAATATGCACCCTGTCTATCAGTCATCTACAAAGCTATTTGACTGTCTGCTTCTGGAAATTTACACCTGTTCCTGTGAATGAGATGGAAACAAAACAATACCCCTATCAGTAGAAAGCCTTCTGTCAACTGCACTGTCTTCTGCTAGAATTTGATCAATGTCATATCTGATTCTAAAAAGCATTAATGTCCTAAAAAAAATACATTATGATCTATGTGTTTTTGGAATGTCCTCTTTTTAGTACATTACCTAGAGCCACCTTGAGGGTGAAACTGCTTTGGGTCATGAAATGGATCCTTTTTCTACTTTTGTTTCTTGCTTTCTGATTTAAGCTTTCATCTCCTTTACTACAATGTAATCTTGATGTGATTATTTTGCTGTTATAAGACCTGCAGTCAAATGAGGAATAGAAACGAAAATAAAAGGAAGTATATTGTATGCTTTAGTTTCTTTTATTCCTTTGAAGGATTTTGAACTTTGGGATGATGTAGGATTGAACATTCCAAAACCTCCTGACCTGTTACAACTCTATCGTGACTTTGGAAACCATCATGTTACTGCGAGAGATGTGGTGGATGTATCAGTTGGTGTAGAAGATGATGAGTTAGAGGCTGCTACTCCTATACTTGGGAGCGTCCCTGTATTTGAAACAACACCACAGTCAATAGAAGTAAGAGATTGTACAGAAGAAATGTTTCAGCTGTTTGCAGTGCTACTTAAGTATATTGTACTAAACTCTTTTGTTTCTATCTTGTATTTAGCAATGTTTAATAGTGCAAAAATTAGAAGATCAAATTAGTGTGTTAAACAGTGAGAAATGGTCTTTGATGGAACAAATCCAAAGACTTGAGAGGTATGTACTTATCAATCTGCTAAACTGCTGTTAAAAGTTGGAATAACTTCTCAATGTTTTTCTAGCACATATATGAAAATGTACAACTTACGCTTATAAAATTACTAGTTCTTCAGAGCAGGGGCTGTCCTTCCTTTTTAATATGTGGTGTTTGATTTAGAAAAAGGAAGAGACTTCAAACTGACTATTTCCCTTTTATAACCTACATCATTTAATTTTGCAATCAGTTTTGTTCTTTCAATGCAACTTCTTTATTTACTACTTTGAAAACAGAATCATATCTGATGTGTTTTGCGTAGGTTTTCTCTTCAGTCAGCTTTATTTCACTCACTACTATGGTGTGTACAGCTTGCAAACAAAGATGTTTGGTTCAATGACTTATTTCAACACAGTTTTTCTTTCTAGAGAGCAAGACTAGTAGAAATGACAGTATCTTTAAGAAAAACAAAAAAAGAGACTTTAAAAGTTTGGTCAAAGTTATAAGATAATCATTCCTCTTAAGAAATGCACCAATACAACATATGGGCAAGTGCATAATTTTTAAGTGGCTTTATTGACTTGCATAGTTACCATTTCAAAGCCAGGTAGGGAAGTATATATTAATTCACCACTACAGTATTTTAAGTTTTGCGTCCCAGATAGAGTTCTGTCTTGTGACAGTTTGTGTCTTAGTGCTAAGATTTCAGCCGGAAGCAGATAACACTATTGTTATTCACTTGTTTCGTTGATTCACTCTGAGTGCAACATTTTTCCTACTACTAATTATTGACTAAAGAACTCCATTAAACCAGTGCTCCTTTGAACAGCTTGTGTGATACAAGTTATTTATATTAAAGGAATTTTTGAACATAGTGGAGTTGAAGAGGAGCTCTTCAATATGTTGTCCGTATTTCTGTGCTCCAGCCTTGTGATTCCAAGAACCTTCTCAGGAAAGCTACAAAAATATTTCATTCTTTGCATTTCCTTTTTTAGTGAAATAGATTTTCTCAAGAATGAAAACTTTGCTGTGTCAACAGTTTATGGTGTAGCTCCCCATCCTTCTTTAAAACAAGTGCCTCTCACAGTCTCAGAGGACAATGGACGGTACTTGGATATCAAGAGCTCTGAGAATGACAACAAACATGGAAACACTGAGGAAACAAGCCTTTCCTTGTCAGCTGAAGTGGATTCAAGGACTTCTAAAGATGATATGCTAAATTCTGTGCCCTGTAAAGAAACAGAGAAACTGTCCTCTTGTGCTCCATCAACTAAAGCTGCAGTCCACTTCGATAAACCTAATAGGTTAGTGATAAGTTTTAAACTGAAATTCTTTAATTAAAAACTCTTGTACAGTGGATAGAGATTTTTCTAACAAGGAAATTCTGCAGAATTCATAGATCATTTGTGTTTTGAATGCAAATAAAAGACTTAATGTACCTTTAGGGTACAGCGCTGATATTTTCATGTTGTTCTTAATCTTTTTAGGAAGGAGTACATTTGGCAAACCTACATTTTTAGTATTAAGTTTAAGGGTTTCTTTTTACCTCCTACTTGTTTCTAAAACCAGTCCTGTTCCTTGCAACAACAAAAAAAAAAGCTAAAATCAAAGTGGTGAATAGGAAGACAGGATATTTCCATTCTCTTTCAAATTTTAATTTCATAATGAAATCTCTTCTGGTCGTCTTGAAGAGTGGTTGGGAAATTTTTAAATTTTCCTATGTAGATGTGTATAACTCTCTTAGAGTATCTAGGAGAGCTATATGGGGGTTTTGGGGGGTTTTTTTTAGTCAGAAGGAGTATTCGATGACATTCTGCTTTTTGAGTTTTGAATTTGGGGGAAGCCTTTACTGGGTAACTATGATTCTTTTAATAAAAATGGGGTACTCCTATTGTGTTATTACATGGAGCCTGAGTTTGTGTATCTGACACTTTTTGAGAAAGTCCCTCCAGTCTACACAGTCTTTTAATCGTTATAGTGAAGAGGGGAAGTAACATGTTTGTTAAGTAATAGATAAACCACTGTGTAGCCCTCAGGAGTAACACAGACCACAAACTTAATGAGAGTATGTACAACTTCTAAAATTACCACTGTAGACAAAGATGCCCAAGTAGCTCACTTTACGGTCTTACCGTTGCTGTTCCTCAGGGAGCAGGTAGCCATTCTGCTTTGTATTTTGTCAGTTCCCTTAGCATTCTTTTGCTGGTGTTGATATAGTAATATGTTTCTAGAATTATCTTCCACATGAAAATACCAAGGAGAAATTTATGTGTGATGTTCTGTGCAGATGGAAGATCAATACAAGCGGGGGGGGGGGGGGGGGGAAAAAAAAAAAAAAAAGAAAATTTTC